GCGGGGGCCCGGGGGGACTTGGAGGTATTTTTTAAGTTAGGTGGTGGTATTTATACAGTGGGACCCCTGTGTTAGCTTCTCTTTGGATCACCAATGACTTAAATGTTTGAAACATTCTCCAGGATGAACCCATTTGTTACCATTTGAAAATGAGTCATCCCATTCACAAAAATAGCATGTTGTGAAGTGAAAGTTAAATCAGACTCTCACAATGTCCTTAGAACTACAGGTTCCTGTCTTATGAGCAAATTACCCAAACTGACTCAGTGGGTTTTGGGCCAACAAGGAAGGTATAGGCAGGGGTCTATTCTTTGAGTATGTCAAAGGCTGCCCTCTTGTTTTATTCAGGGAAAGTTTTATATACACATACATACATAACACACACACACACACAAATACACATATATATCTTTTTTTGAGAGAGAGTGAGTGAGCGACAGAGAGATAGAAAGCAAGAAGTCACTTCCCGCCAGGGATGACCATGCCATAATCCCTTCTCCTCCATTTTCCTCTTCGGATTATGGGCACGCATACATCAGTGTGAGTTTCAAGCAACTGGGTCCAGGACTTGAACCATGATTGACCACAAGGGAGTCCAGCATCTTAACCTACACCATCTACTGGCCCCAAAAAGTTATATATTTCTTTTCAGTGGAATTTACTAAATGAGAACTTCCAAGATTGAGTTTTTTGGAATGTTAGTTAATAACACATGGGGAAAATTTTTTTCCACAGTCAAGTAAGTTTGGGAAACATAGGGTTAAATGAAATAGCAAATATCTTTACTGCAGACCTTCTTAGAACTTTTAAAATGCTGAAGTGCTTTGTGAATCTCTAACAGGGCTTTCGCTAGACACATGTGGCTATGGAATCTTGGTTGATGGATCGATCATGAATTAAATGGCTTTTCCTTTCATATCCTCATCTCGTGTGGGTCAAATGCTACTCTAGATTGTTTTTGGAGGATGATGGGCTGGGAGCAACATTTCAGTAAAACAACTTCTGACAGTGTCTTTGGTTGGGGCAGGGGGTAATCACTGTTGATATGGCACTTTCCTTTTTCAAAATTTTAGCACCATTGTGGGAGTCCTAGAACTCTGCTTTTATTTCAGCTCTGGCCACTCAATCCCTCATGTCTTGGGACCTTGGGAAATGCATCAACCTTGGATTTTTCTGGGTTAGAGCTTGATCTTTAACTCATGTTTGGTTCTTTTTTTTTTTTTTGGAGAGTTTTTTTTTTTTTTTTTTTTTTGCTATAGGGCGCGTGTGCTTGCCAGACAAACAGAGAGAGACATAGAGACAGAAAGCGAGAAATCACCCCCCAGGGTGGATGGTAACGCCGCAATCCCTTCTCCTCCATTCTCCTCTCGGGATCTTGGGCACGCATGCACATGTACCTGGCGTGAGTTTTAAGCCACCGGGTCCGGGACGCGAACCGCGGTTGACTACGTGGGAGTCCAGTGACATAGCCATTATACTAACTGTTGGTTCCCACTCATGTTTGGTTCTTGAAGATACGTCATCACAGACATCATTGGGAAGGATGATGGCCTGGGCGTGGAGAACCTGAGGGGCTCAGGCACAATTGCTGGGGAGTCCTCCCTGGCTTACGAAGAAATCGTCACCATTAGCATGGTGAGTCCTCTTGTATTTTATTTATTAATTTCTTCCATAAGCAATAGAGAGACATAGAGACAGCACTCCCAACAGGGGCCTGCCACTGTGGTCCAGCCCAGCCTCAGCCAACCCCAGGCTTTAGCATACTCATGCCACTGTACTCAGGGAAGTCTCTGTATGTGAACCGAGAACCTTCTCATATGAGTCAGCCTTACAGAGCATCGTGTTTTATTGCTGTGCCACTGTCCAACACCCCTTATTTAATTTCATTTCATTTTATCTTTCAATTTTTTTTTTTTATTATAGAGACTTTAAAATAGTTAGGCAAGCAGAGAAGATCAACAATGAGCCCTGTGTCCCCATCACGCAGCTTCCACAGTTATCAACATGCAGCCACTCTTGTTTCTTCCGTCCTACCACACCCCATCTCAGCATAGTTTAAAGCCAACTCCCCTATTATGTCACTTCATCCAGAGCTATGTTTGGGTGGGTCTCTAGCAGATAAAGACTTTTTCTCCCCTCTTTTATAAAACTACAGATATTATTAATACACCCAACATGATCGGCAATTCTTTAATCATTGGAACCCAGTTTTAACAAGGAGCTCTAAATATTCTTTTAGAGTTGGTTTGTTTCAATCAGGTTTAAGTTCCTCTTATTTATTTATTATTATTTTTGGAAAGGTTTTTGCTATAGGGTTTTTGCTTTCTATGCTTGCCAGAAAGACAGAGAGACAGAAAGCAAGAAATCACCCCCCAGGGGGGATGGCCACATCGCAATCCCTCCTCCTCCATTCTCCTCTCGGGATCTTGGGCACGCACACACACGTGCCTGGTGTGAGTTTAAGCCACCAGGTCCAGCAATTGAACTGTAGTCGACTACATGGGAGTCCAGTGACATAGCCAATATGCCAAGTGCTGTTCCCAAGCTCCTCTTATTTTAAGGAACTTTTATCTGATTTAAGCTGGTGTGAAATAAGTATTTCCCTTGACTTTTCTGTTTCTAGGAGGAGGAAGGGGTGGAGGAATAATGATGAATTGTCATTCAAGATTTATTTTATTTTTTTTTTTAGAGAGAAATTTTTGTTACAGGGAGTGTGTGCTCGCCAGAGAGACAGAGAGACAGAAAACAAGATACCACCCCCACCCCCCCAAGGAGGATGGCCACACCACAATATCTTCTCCTCCATTCTCCTCTCAGCATCTTAGGCATGAATGCACACACCCCTGGAATGAATCAAGCCGCCAGGTCTGGGACTCAAACCATGGTCTACTATGTGGGAGTCCAATGATGTAACTATTCTGCCATCTGCTGGTCCTCAAGGCTTTATTTTTGCATATTGGGTTGGATCTTCAGTTTCTAAGATGAGAAATACAGAGCATGAGTATCTCCCTTAAGCTCATTTTCTAGATGTCATATATGAGGGAAGTCTTCAAAAAAATTCATGGAAGTGCAAAAAAAAAAAATCTATGTATGAATTTCAAAATATTTTGAAAATAAGTTCCTATTTGAATCCCATTTCCCCACAAACTTTTTGAAGGACCTTGGCATATATGACATGGGAGGTAAAAATCAATTAATTTTAAAATAGTTTAGGCCTCATTAGAAGTTCCAAGATAGAGACTTCCATGTATGTTTACCCATTTTCCTCCATGACAGTATCTTACATAACCGCAATACGTCATCAAACTAGGAACTTGACACTGGTGCAGTCCTGTTAAGTCAGCTTAGATGTTATTTCGGTTTCACAGTTGTTGTTTGTTTGTTAGATTTTTGCCATAGGGTGTGTGTGCTTGTCTGAGTGAAAGTGAGAAATCATCCACCTAGGGGATGGCCATGCTGCAATCCCTTCTCTATTCTCCTCCTGGGATTTTGGGCATGTACGCATGCATCCCCAGGATGAGTTTCAAACTGCCAGGTTCAGGACTCAAACCACAGTCAGCAATGTGGGGGTCCAGTGTCTTAATCACTATGCTACCCACTGGCCCCACACACAACCCTCTTAAGATCCCTAACGAATATTCAGTGTCTGCTGTTTGTCTTTACAACGTTCTTCATTAACCATGTTTGCCGGGAAGCAAGGTGAGCTCAAACGTATGAGTTGAGGATAGGTTTTGCCTCTGCTGTTTTGCCTCAAAGGAGGTTGCCACTGGCCAAGACATCATTTCCATTTGTGCCCAGCAGGTTCTCTGGGCTCTCTCCAGTTGTGGGAGGTGGGGCACACCTCTCTCTGGAATTCAGAAGGGTCCTGTCTCCACAGGTGACCTGCCGAGCCCTTGGAATCGGGGCCTACTTAGTGAGGCTGGGCCAACGAGTGATCCAGGTGGAAAACTCCCACATCATCCTCACCGGAGCCAGTGCCCTCAACAAGGTTCGACAAGGGACCTACAGAGAGTGGGTTCCCGGGGGCTGGGAGTCATTTAACCTCCCATTGTCCTTTTGGGGTGGAGAAGGTCTTCAAATTGGGTTGCATATTGAAATTACCTGGAAATTAAAACCAATTAAATTAAACCTTGATGCCTGGGTCCTAGCCCCAAAAAATCTGATGTCGGTGATCTAGGGATGGCCTTGGTATCGGGATTTTCTAAAGCTCCCAGGTAATTCTAAAGAGCAGCCAGGATTGGGAACCATCAAACAAGGTGGTTTCTGAACAGTTAGAAGGGCCCTGGGCCATGCAGGTCTTTGCTAACAGCATCGTGTCAAAACAGGTCTTGGGAAGAGAGGTTTACACCTCCAACAACCAGCTAGGTGGCGTGCAGATCATGCATTACAACGGTGTCTCCCACATCACTGTGCCGGACGACTTCGAGGGGGTTTACACCATCCTGGAGTGGCTGTCCTACATGCCCAAGGTGCAGTATCCCCCTTATCAAGCTCACTTGCTGATTGTGTCCCTGTCACCTCCTGGGTTATGTGGGAGAATGGGGAGCAAAGAGCACTGCCTATGTGCCTGGGGTACATTTCTTTACATTCCTTTCTCCCTCTCTGACACTCCACCTCGTAGTAGCTGCTCTTTGCTCTTTTGGTGGCATTAATGCCATTGTAAGGATGCTGTCGTTGATCTTTCAGAAGGCGCAGCCTTGTGTCTCAACAAAAGAGGCAACCTTGGACTATAGGGAATCCTCAGGCCTTCTGGCCAGGTTGAATTAGATTCCTGGCTTCCTCTTCAATAGCAGTGTGACTGCAAAATTCTCTTAAATTTTCTGAGCCTTAGTTTTCTCCTCTGAAATGGGATAATAACAGCACCTCCTTTAAGGATTAAGTGAAATGTTACTTAGAGCTCAGCACTTAAGGCCATCACCAAATGCTACTCATGATTGTAATCGTTCAGGTGGGGCTCCTTTTTTTTAAGTTATGTATCTAATTTTATTTATTCATTTACTTTAATTTGACCAGAGAGAGACACATAGAGAGAGGGGGAGTGAGAAAGCAAGCCACCAGGTCTGGGACTCAAACCATACTCAGCCATGTGGTAGTGTCCAGTGCCTCAACCACCATGCCACCTGCTGACCCCTGGGTGGGGCTTATTTAACTAGATGTTGAGTAGCCAGATGTTTTCTGACCCTATGTCACAGTGACAACCCTTTTCTGCCTTTCTTTCACGGCCCAAATCATTGAATACATATGAACCCTTAAATGCATTCAAGAGTCCATAAACTAAATTTCAAAAGAATCTGTGGGATGGCCAATCCTTATCTGACATGTTTCAACCCAAAGAGTGCCTTCAGAAGCCCTAGTAAGGTAGGCTGTTGCTGCATTACTAGGCATAATCATAGTCAGAGGGGAAAAGTTCAGACAGCATATTAGAGACATCCTTGACAAGCTCCAGAGACAGAGTTAGAGACCTGGCTTTCTTTTCTAGGATAATCGCAGTCCAGTCCCTATCATCACACCCGCTGACCCTATTGACAGAGAAATTGAATTCCTTCCATCCAGAGCACCCTATGATCCTCGGTGGATGCTTGCAGGAAGGCCTCACCCAGGTAAGTCCTGCAATGTTTTGCCTGGGACCTGGGTTTTAGGTTTATTTTCTGAATCTCGGATAAAGGAGCACTTAGAAACAGTGATGTTGTTTCTGTATACCAGAGGGGTACAACTGCAGGGAGAGTGGAGAAATGGAAATCTTACTCTGTGCGTTCCCCGAGCTGTGGACCCAGAAGGGGTGGAAACACCTGCTGGTTTCTGGGGCTGATAGTAGAAGGTGAGGTGGTTGTAGCCTCCTTCCCAATTGCCCAGTGATTGCATAGGTGGGAAATTCAGTGCTGGAGCATCAGCATTTCAAGGAGAAGACTGACCCCGCCCTCCTTTCTTTCTGTCTGTCTCTGTATGTGTGTTTGGCTAAACCTTACAAGAGGACTTTTTTTTTTTTTTGAGAGTTTTTTTTGCTATAGGGCACGTGCGCTCACCAGACAGACAGAGAGAGACAGAGAGACAGAAAGCGAGAAATCACCCCCCAAGGGGGATGGCCACGCCGCAATCCCTTCTTCTCCATTCTTCTTTCGGGATCTTGGGCACGCACGTACACACGCCCAGTATGAGTTTAAGCCACCGGGTCCGGGACTCGAACCGCGGTCGACTACATGGGAGTCCAGTGACATAGCCATTACGCTAACTGCTGGTCCCACAAGGGGACTTTTCATGACTCTACCCAGAGTGGGCGATTTTGACTCTGCTACATGTACACACACATGTGAGCATGCACACACATGTGTGAACTCACCAGTGTGTACCTGCAGACGCATTCATTCCCTTTCTCTCTGAAGGAGTGGTTTTTCTCCCGATGGTGTCTTATTACATTATGAGCATTCTGAACAGCACAGGGAAGCCGAGCTACCCTGCCACCTTATCCCAAGGCTAGAATTCCACACACTGTTACCGTGAGACATCAGCTTGCACGTCCACCTGCACCATGCAGGTGAGGTGACCACAGGAGCCTGCCAGACTCTAGGCAGCAAGAGCACCTCCCTGACTTGCCTCTGTCCGTTCCATTTCTCTTGGACATTCTCATCTGAGAACACTGAGGCAGGGTGGCTTTAACTTGACTGAAAAAGACCTGACTTCTCCCTTTGCTCCTGGCCAGGCCCACGGCCCCCAGGCAGGTATGAAGTTGGGTTGTGTGTTCCTAGGTGCCCTGCCTCCCACACCTGCAACCTGACACACCTCGTGCTGTCTGGCTTTTCTGTGCTTGTCAGAACTGCAGTCACTGACACCATGGTGTGGATTCAAGTCACCGTTCCCTCCCCTGCTGTGGCTGCCATTGACACCATCATATTCTCTCTTTGGGAAATTGAAGACTGTGTTCTCAGTGAAATGGGTATTCAACTGCAGCCAACAGGTCGGGGAGGAGTTTTCTGGGCAGGTGGTCCCTTTCAGAAGTTCCACCTTCTAGGGGGCACCCATCAGCTCAAAGGCCTCTCGGCAGAGCAGGTAGAGCCGTGATTCAGATCTAAACATGTCTGGCTTGGACGGGCAGTTGATGGTTGTTAGATGTCCTATGTAGACTGAATCCCTGACCTAATGTATTTTTTTGCAGCCCTGTTATTTTTTTTTAAAGAGTTTTAACATTTAATTTATTATTGGTTTTCAATTTGCTGTAGGGCATGCGTACTCACCAGAGAGAGAGAAGTGAGAAAGTAAGCCATCAGGTCTGAGACTTGAACCATGGTCGGTCATGTGGGAGTCCTGTACCTTAACCACCTGGCCAACTGCAGGCTCTATGTTATTCTCTTTTAATTTTACTTTATTTATGATGGTGTGTGCATGTTCATGAGAGAGAAAGAGGGAGGAGGAGGGGGGAGAGAGAGAGAGAAAAGGAATCATTGATGCAGTCTTATCATGCCACAGTCCCCTTTACCCACCCCTCCAGCTTGTCAGGGTCTTGAGCATGCATGGATGCACCTGGAGTGTTTTCAGGCTAACCAGGGATTTGAACCCTCAGTCAGCTATGTGGTCTCCAAGACTGTAGTTCAATTTACTGCCCGCTGTGCCACCAAGGCTGGGCATGTATTTTTGTCTTCCATTTGGCAAAGACTTGGGATGTGTGTGGATTAGAGGGAAAAGGGTGTGTGGGCTGTCAGGTGTAGTGAGGCTGACCTCACTGAGACTGCACAACAGCCTATGCAGCCAGAGGGGCCCTGGGGTCCCCATCAACCTAGCCTCTAGGACTGAACTCCGGTCTTCCTGTCCACAGTGCTGAAGGGAACCTGGCAGAGTGGCTTCTTCGACCAGGGAAGTTTCAAGGAAATCATGGCACCCTGGGCCCAGACCGTAGTGACGGGACGAGCCAGGTAATTCTAAGACAGGGACAGCCGCTTACACCTGGCCTCACCAGACGTTGGGACTCTAGGACACCAGCTAGCTGGCCACCAGGGCCATTTTCTCCTTGGCTTCAGGATTTTCTGAAAGGAAAAAAACACCAATTTGGTAAATGGTTTTCTGGACAATGAGCCTCTTCTGAAATTCTAGATTTTCCTGGGGCCTCAGTAGGCATGTCAGCCAACCTCCTGCTGGGGTCTGGGACCCTTGCCCCTAGTTCATTCCCCTGGACATGACCCCTGGACCCCTTTGGGAGTCAGAAGGTGGCCCTGGTGCCCTCCCCAGATAACCACACAGATGCTCAGCATTGAATTCCATTTCAGGAGGGCCACAAGCAGGAGCCCCTGTGCTACAGCATTACTGGTGGAAAGCTTAAATGTTTGGATTGCATTTTGACTGCCACCCATCACGTGAGGTCAGATGTGGAAATTCCCAATTCATGGTGTAGTGCCGGTACTCAGATGGTTTTGGATTTTGGAGTAATTTGGATTGTAGGTTTTTACATTAGGGATGCTCCCCCATATGACGTCATAGCCACAGCCCAGGGTCCAGAGTCGGACCTGCGGTTAAGCCCCAGCTCCATCATTCACCCTCTTTGGAACTCCCCACCTTCATCTATAAAGTGGGGTTAATAATTCTACCCCCAAGGATTGCTATGATGTTTAGAAGCATATATACACACACACACACACACACACACGTATATATGTATATATATACACACACACACACGTGTATATATATACATATATATATATATACACACACACACACACACATCACACACATACATATACATATGTATATGTATATATATGTGTTTTTTTTTAAGAGATTTTTGCTGTAGGGCATGTACACTTGCCAAAGACAGAGAACTCACCTCCCAGGGCAGATAGCCATGCCACAGTCCCTTCTCCTCCAGTCTCTTCTCAGGATTTTGGGCACACACATATACACACCTGGCATGAATTTCAAGCCACTGGGTCTAGGACTTGAACTGCCATCAGCCACATGGGAGTCCAGCACATTAACCCTTATACCAATTGTTGGCCCCTACATTTTTTTAAAGATAATTATTTATTTAATTTTGTTCATTATTATCTATTATTATTAAGTTGCTGTAGCATACATGCACTCCCCAGAGACAAACAGAGAAATTAAGAAAGCAAGTCACCACATCCAGGACTCGAACTGTGGTCAGCCATGTGACAGTTCAGCACCCTAACCACCAGGCCACCTGCTCATCCTGCAGTCATATACATTAAGCACACAGAATATCATAAATGCTCCCTAGATGGTTGTGGCTTTTATTATTATTTACCTCCAGGGCAAAAAGTATTCAAATTACTAAACATATTAGCTTGTAGTTACTTTTGCATAAATGTTTATTTTAAAAATATTTTTTGTAAAAAAGCAATTAAGTCTACTCCTCCTTCCCTATGGAAACCCTCCCATTTGAGGACCCCTGTCCCCCTACTGCATTGAAGGGTCACTGTACAGGAAAATTAAAACAACTCAGTGTAATGCACCTGGCCCGGAGCAGACCAGTAGCAAGCAGTGATGGTTACTGATGCTGTGATCTGCCCCGAACTGAGTCTCCACCAGCTGCAGCATCCCTCAGCCACTCCCAAAGGCAACTTGGCATCAAGACCTGCCGCTCACTGAGGTGGTTGCTTTCCATGTGTGGTGATTTAAGTTGAAATACAAATGAATTAAGATGGGAAAGAGTCCTCCTCTTGTCCTCAGCGGTTCTCGCCACATTTCATGTGCTCAGTAGCCACGTGCGGCTCACAGTGACTGGCTTGGCCGATGCAGAGAGAGCCTGTGCCCTTCATCACGGAGCCTCCTAGTGGCCATGTGGCTCTAGATTCCACAGCATCCCCACTGACGGTTCTCACCCCTACAAGGGCACCAACAGGTCTGCCTACTTAGGACGCAATTAATTCGGGGCTTTTTTTCTTTGTCTTCCTATGAAATAATTGACCAGGTAAAAACAAGCGTTCTCTTCTGCATGTCCTCGCCCTACCCCCAGAACCACCCATGGCCAGAGCTGGTGCACCCACGTGCCCCCAAGGTCTACCTCAGGTGCTACAGTGCCCAGCTCACCTGTACTTGCCTTCCAGGCTGGGCGGCATCCCTGTCGGAGTGATTGCTGTGGAGACACGGACCATGGAGGTGGCAGTCCCTGCAGACCCGGCCAATTTGGACTCTGAGGCCAAGGTAAGGGCCCCAGGAGCTGGGGCTGCTGTTTCAGTCTGCTCTGCCACAAGTGTGGGTCCTGGACAAAGGCCGGTGATTGGCCCTGGGGCGGGCTCAGATATGGCTATGTCCTGCATGGCCTTTCCTTCCTCGGGGGCTGATAAAGGGTCCCAGAATCCTGCCTCTACCCCACCCCTGCTGCGGGTTCTGGGAGAGCCATGGCCCTGACTAAGAAGAGCTTAGCTGTCAGCGGGCGGGTCCTGGGACTAGCTTTGCCCACACTCACTAGCTCAGCTCCTCCCTGCGCCTGCAAATGGGACCACAGCCACCTCGTGAGGCTGAGTAGGGTCCCTTCTTCTGAGCCCTGGCTCTGGCGTCAGAGCCAGTGTGGAGCAGATTGCTCATGCTACAGGGCAAGGTCCAGCAGCCGTCCCTGTGTCCTGGGGCTACCGTCACCCAGGGGCGCCTGATCTGGGTGGCTCTGTGTTCCAGATTATCCAGCAGGCCGGCCAGGTGTGGTTCCCAGACTCGGCCTACAAGACGGCCCAGGCCATCAGGGATTTCAACCGGGAGAAGCTGCCGCTGATTATCTTTGCCAACTGGAGGGGCTTCTCTGGTGGCATGAAAGGTGAGTCCTCCTGTGGTGAGCATCCCGGGTGCCTCCCTCGGGGGAAAGGGTGCCAGTTTGCTGTGTTTGGTCTCATCGTTGCCTCAGCCGCACCTCTCAACAACCCTGAGGACAGAAGGCAGACAGGTCACATCATCCTGTTCGATGGGTGAGGTTCTGGGGGTCAGAGGCAAGTGTGACTTCCTAGAGGTCACGCCACGAGTGGCAGAACAGGGTAGGCAGCCCTGGAAGCTGCACGGTGACCTTGGAGTCACTTAGCCATCTGGAGAGATGAGGCCATGCCTCCTCCCTGACTTCCTTGAAGGGTTACCCTGAGCCTCAGGTGACCTCATAATCGTGCAAAACTGTTGACCGTCTCTCAAGAGACCGTCAGAGCTGGATTGGGAACAGGTATACCTCGGGGTATCCAGGCCAGCTAGGTACCTTCTCTGGGCCTCAGTCTGTCTCCTGTGTGAAAGATGTTTAAGAATATGACCAACTGGGGCTGGCACGTGACATGGTGGTTAAGGTGCTAGACTTCCACATGGCCAACCACAGTTCAAGTCCTGGACCTGGTGATTTGTTTTCTCACTTTCCCTCTCTCTTTCTGTCTCTCTTTGGTCAAATTAAAAAATAATAATAATTAAATTCTTAATTAGCAGTTAGCATAATGGCTATGTTGCTGAACTCCCATGTAGCCGACCACGGTTTGAGTCCCAGACCCGGTAGCTTAAACTCACACCGGGCACGTGTGCGTGCGTGCCCAAGATTCCAAGAGGAGAATGGAGGAGAAGGGATTGCAGCATGGCCATCCCCACTGGGGATGTCTCTCCATCTCTCTCTGTCTCTCTGGCAAGTGCACACGCCCTATAGCAAAAACCTCTCCAAAAAAAAAAAAGTTCTTTTTTATTAACTGTAGTTTTATTTTTCTTTTTTAAAGAATTATTTAATTTATTTATTTTAATTTGACCAAAAAAAGAAATAAAAAACAGAGTAAGAGAGAGAGAGAGAGAGACAGAGAGATGGAAAGTGAGAAAGACAATCCACCAAGCCCAGGAATTGAACCGTGGTCGATCATGTAGGAGTTCAGTGCCCTTAACTACCATGCCACCTGCCAGCCCCTAAATTTTTAAAAATTCTAAAAAAAGAGAGAGAATATGACCAACCTCAGCGGGCCAAGGTGGTGAGGACCTGATGAGACCTAATGAGCTAGTCCTTGGAACTTGCGCTGTCATCATTGAAATGTTTGTGTTGCTCTCATCAGGAAGGGTGCCCAGTGCTTGGAGGGATGTGTCTTGATGGGAGGTGAGGTCACTGCCCTGAGCAGGGAGGATGCGCCTGTGTTATTCTTGGGGAGGTCTGTGTGCCAAGCACCGTAGGACAGGCCAGGGCAGCTCACCCAGTGCTGGAAGGTTGCACCTGCACCTCTGTTTACACACGAGGACACTGAGGTCCCTGCTGGGTGGGTGTGACCCATCCTAGGTGACACAGCCACGTAGGGAGCCATCCGTGCTTGGATGGACCACTGGCTCAGGACAGTGAAGGCTGCTGGTAAGGCCAGGCCTAAGGCCGCCTCACCAGGCAGCCGCCTTGCTTTGCAGACATGTACGACCAGGTGCTGAAGTTTGGCGCCTACATCGTGGACGGCCTCAGGCAGTACAAACAGCCCATCCTCATCTACATCCCGCCCTACGCGGAGCTCCGGGGCGGCTCCTGGGTGGTGGTCGACTCTACCATCAACCCCCTATACATGGAAATGTATGCAGACAAAGAGAGCAGGTAAGAGGCTCCCCCAACCTGGCGCAGCCTTTCCCTGTTCTCACTTCGAGCCCCAGGACCCTCTAACTTCTGAGCCGCTGTCTTGGAGATCTGAGTTTCTGAAGGACACAGAGCCTCCGAGTCCACCAGTCTGGAACTCAGTGTGATATTGGATGTCTCCAGAAGAGACAGTAGCTGCAGCCTGGAGGTAGTGGAGGAATTGTTGTCTTTCCTTTCCTAACTTACACTCACCTCCTTCCCAAAGAAGTTTGCAACCAAAAAATAAAAAGGGAAGAGCAATAGCATCTGAACTTCCTGGCAACCAGGGTGACAAGGGAAATATGATGAGTGTTTTATTTCTCACTGGACTCTGACTTTCTCCCAAAGCTATGAGTTCTTATGGGAACTGCTTTACTCAGTTCAACAACCCAGGGTCTAGCCCAGTGTCTGACTCTAGGTTGGAGGACAGGAAATGTGGGCTAGGCAAACGACTTGGTAGATAGCATGAGGAGATACCAGTTCTTCATAGGAGGAAAACCTTCCTGACATAGTCTTTAAGAGGACTTCATCCCTTGGGAACCAGCAGTTAGCGTAATGGCTATGTCGCTGGATTCCCACGTAGTCGACCGCGGTTCGTGTCCCGGACCTGGTCGCTTAGAACTCACGCCGGGCGCGTGTGCGTGCGTGCCCAAGATCCCGAGAGGAGAATGGAGGAGAAGGGATTGCGGTGTGACCGTCCCCCCTGGAGGGAGATTTCTCACTTTCTGTCACTCTGTCTCTCTCTGTCTGGCTGGTGAGCGCACACGCCCTATAGCGAAAAATAAGTAAGTCTCTCTGTCTGGCTGGCGGCCGCGCACCCTCTACAGCAAAAAATTTTCAAAAAAAAAAAAAAAAAAAAAAGAGGACTTCATCCCAAGATCTCGTAGAAGGGGTGAAGACGATAATGCTTTCCCACCGTGGTTGGTACCTTTAACGTGAGAACTCTGCTGCCTGCTGTATAGGATGTAAAGGCTTCACGGTTAGTTCTGCCTAAAATATAGGTATACCGTTGCTGTGCTTGGTCCCTCATTCACCCACTAATCTGAATATTTACTGGACGCTTAGTGTGTCCTAGCATTACACCAGGTGTTGTGATATGGTGAAATGAGCCAAGCTTGTCCTGCCTTCGTGGCATCTAGACCCTCAGTCAGGGGTGAGGGGACTGGGATCAGCCTTCCAGGAAGACTCGGAGTGTTGAGCAGCACTCAGATGATGGTCGTCATGAACTTTTCACTCTGGCCACTAGGATGCTCAGAAGCTGTAGTTTCTTGGGACTTCTAAGCTGTCAAAAGCCAAAGGGGACTAGAGTGGGGAGGACACTGAGCAGTGAGTGAGGTGGTTAGAAACAGGAAGGCAGCTCATAGGACTACACTGGCCTCTTGTCATGCCTTCATCAGCCTTAAAGAATATATTTGTTTGTTTTTATTGCTAGAAAATGTACATGCTCACCAGAGACAGAGACAGAGCAAGAAAGGGAGAAAGAAACCACCAGTGGGTTATACCAGAGTTCCTTCTTCATTTCTCCATCCTGTCAGGATTTGGGGCACACATGCACACAGGCCTGGTGTGTTTTACAAGCCACCGTGGCCAGGATTTGAACTATAGTCGGCCATGTAGGATCTGGCTCCCAATGCATAGTGCTTACTACTGCACTATAGGGCCAGCCTAAAATATGTTGTTTTTTTTTTTTTTAAGATTATTTATTTAATTTTTTAAATTTATGTGGTTTTTTTTTTTTTTTTTTTTTAATTTTTTTGTTTTTTTTTTTTTTTTTTTTTTTTTTTTTTTTTTTTAATTTGACTAGAGAGAGACTGAGAGGGAAAGTGAGAAGGCAAGCTGCCAGGTTTGGGATTCAAACTGTGATCGGCCATGTGGGAGTCCAGCACCTTAGCCACCATGCCACCTGCTGGCCTATTAATGTGGGATTTTTTGGAGTTTGTTTATTTCTTCTATGAATAGAAGAGAGGACGTGCACCCCTGACAGGGCCTTGATGCCATGATCCACCCCAGCCTCAGCCAGGCCTGGATCATGGGCATGTGCATGCCTGATCTACTCAGAGAGATCTCTGCATTTGAGCCTGGCACCTTCCCACGTGAGTCTGCCTTGATATCAGGAGCAGTATCCTTGTTCTAGGACAACAGAAATGAGTGAAGTCAGAAAGCACGGTGTCCGGAGAGCAGGAGTTAGATGGGAAGAAAGTCACACACTCGCACTCTCAGGCCTGAAAGGCCCTTCTAGAGATCAGAAAGCATTATTATAAAAAGTTGGTTTAGTCTAGGGAACCACGAGTTAGCGTAATGGCTATGTCGCTGGACTCCCACGTAGTCGACCGCGGTTCGCGTCCCGAACCCGGTGGCTTAAAACTCACGCCAGGCGCGCGTGCGTGCGTGCCCAAGATCCCGAGAGGAGAATGGAGGAGAAGGGATTGCGGCGTGACCATCCCCCCTGGGGGGTGATTTCTCGCTTTCTATCTCTCTGTCTCTCTCTGTCTGTCTGGTGAGCGCACGCGCCCTATAGTGAAAAACCTCTCAAAAAAAAAAAAAAGTTGGTTTAGTCTTTCCTTTAGTAAATATACAAACCAAAGACCTGGACCCAACAGCTTGAAAAATATGTGTGCATGTGTGCCCAAAAATAAAAAGGGAAGAGCAACAGCATCTGAGAGGAGGATGAAGGAGAAAGGATTGTGGCATGGCCATCCCTCCTAGAGGATTTCTTGCCTCTCTCTCTTTCTCTCTCTGTCTCTCTCTGTCTCCAGTGAGTGCACATGCCCTATAACAAACTTAAAACAATAAAATAAAAAAAAAAATTAAAAATGAAAGAAACTGAAGCCCAGAGAGGGAGGGTGACCTGCCCGAGTGCACAAGTTGAGACTGACAGCCAGGCCTCCCAGCTCGTCGGTACCCAGCTCCCTCCACCTCCACTAGCTGTCGCCTGCTGGGCGATGCCTCATACACCCCCATCTCTGCCTCTTCTGTTTTCAGAGGGGGTGTCCTGGAGCCGGAGGGGACAGTGGAGATTAAGTTCCGAAAGAAAGAACTGGTAAAGGCCATGCGGAGGACCGACTCAGCATACAAGAAGCTCATGGAACAGCTAGGTAAGAGGGTCCGAGCGGCCCAGCCAGGTGGCGCACACTGCTAAGATGCCATGCTCTACAGGCGGGGACCACAGGAGAAGCCCTGATTTGGTTCCCGTTCAACCTAAAGTCCCGGTGCAGTGGCTGCACCCATCTTGCCAGCTACTCAGGAGGCTGAGGCAGGAGGATCAGAAGCAAGCACAAGGCTGACCTAGACGACATAGGGAGGCTGAGAGTCAGGCACGGAGGTGCATACCTGTGGTGTCAACTGGGAGGCTGAGGCAGGCGGGTCATGAAAGCAAGACCCTGTCTTTAAAAGAACCAAACAACAGCATCCGCAGAAGAATCCAAAAGACATCACCTCTGGGGCCAGCCTAGCGGTTAAGGGAGCTGATCCCACACGGCCAAGTGCTTTGAATCCCGGCCTCAACAGCATTGAAAAACACTGGGCTAGGGAACCAGCAGTTAGCGTAATGGCTATGTCGCTGGACTCCCACGTAGTCGACCGCGGTTCGTGTCCCGGACCCGGTGGCTTAAAACTCACGCCGGGCGCGTGTGCGTGCGTGCCCAAGATCCCGAGAGGAGAATGGAGAATGGAGAAGGGATTGCGGCATGACCATCCCCCCCGGGGGGTGATTTCTCGCTTTCTGTCTCTGTGTCTCTCTCTGTCTGTCTGGCGAGCGCATGTGCCCTATAGCGAAAACCTCTCAAAAAAAAAAGAAAGAAAAAGAAGGATATCATCTCTTGAGCTCAGGAGGGACCCAGCTGTCTCCACTGTTAGAGGTTTTTAGTCTGTTAAACTGGACTCCCACATAGCCTACCTCGGTTCAAGTCCCAAGCTCAGCAGCTTAAAACTCACACCGGTGAATGTGAGTACATGCCCAAAATCCCGAGAGGAGAATGGAGGAGAAGGGACTGCGGAGTGGCCATTCCCTCAGGGCATGATTTCTCACTTTCTGTCTCTCTGTCCCTTTGGCGAGTATAATAAACTGAAGCTGGGGACCAGCAGATGGTGTAATGGTTACGTTGCTGGATGCCCATGACTGTGGTTCGAGTTTCAGACCCAGAGGCTTAAAAAAACTCACACCGGTCATGTATGCATTCATGCCCAAGATCCTAAGAGGAAGATAGGGGAGAAGGGATTGCAGTGTGGCCATTCCCCCTGGGGGTGATTTCTCACTTTCTGTCTCTCTGTCTCTCTGGAAAGCATATGCACCATATAGCAAAAATCTCTCTAAAAATAAAAGGAGAAAAGAGGAATTTTCAATCGGACTGGGCCAGCTGGTAGCATGGTGGTTGAGGCAGCTAGCTGCATCCTACATGGCTGACTGCACAGTTTGAATCCAAGATCCGACTGCTTGAAAGATCTGCTGAGCACGTGTATGTGCGTGCCCAAAATCCTGGGAGGAGAATGGAGAAGGAATTGTGATGTGGCCACCCCTCTTGGGGGGTGATTTCTGGCTTTCTGTCTCTGTCTCTATGGCGAGTGCATGTGCCTTATAGCAAACATCTCTTAAAAAAAAAAAAAAAAACAAGTAATTGATAGTGTCCTACAAGCATCTGATCGAATTTGAAATTGCATGTCGAATGCTGTCTTGCAATGATAAGATGTGCCGCTCAATTTAGGGGCAATATCAGAGTTAAAGCTCAGACTTCTCGTGGGACAAGGCTTGTCCTGCAAACGCTGGTTTGTGCCCTCCCCCTGACAAAAAAGTTCTCCACCCTAGCCTCAAGTAGGCATCTTCCGTGGCCTCCCCTGAAGGCCTAACTTGCTTGTCTACTCACCTGCAGGAGGGGCCCAGCTCACCGATAAGGACAGGAAGGACCTGGAGAGCCGGGTGAAGGCCCGTGAAGACCTGTTACTCCCCATCTACCACCAGGTGGCAGTGCAGTTCGCCGACCTCCACGACACACCTGGCAGGATGCTGGAGAAGGGCGTCATCTGTGTAAGGGCCTGCAGCTGCCGAGGGGGCTCTGGGGGACCCATCCTGAGGTTACCTGGTTTCCATCACAGAGGAGGGGCCCAGGGGATTTGGCATGGGTCAAACACGTAAAAAATCCCAGGCTTGGGACCACCAGATGGCGTAATGGTTGTGTCACTAGACTCCCACATAGTCAACTACAGTTCAAGCCCTGGATCCAGCGGTTTGAAACTCAGGCCGGGCGCATGTGTGTGTGTGTGTGCGCTCCCAAGATTCTGAGAAGAGCGTAGAGGAGAAGGGATTGCAGTATGTTGATCTCCCTGAGGAGGCGTGATTTCTCGCTTTCTGTCTCTCTCTGGCAAGTGCACGCATCCTATAGCAAAAATCTCTCAAAAAAAAAAAAAAAAATCCCAGGCTTGTCCCGTGGACTACTGGTTAAGGGAGTTGGATCCCACATGGCCAACTACAGTTCAAATCCCAGCCCTCATGGCTTGAAAAACATGCCAGGTGCATGCACATGTGTTCTCCAAGTCCTGACAGGATGGAGAAATGGAGAAGAATGGATGGTGGCATGACCGTGCTCCACTGGGGACTGCTTTCTCTCTCTCCTTCTCTCTGTCTCTCTCTGATGAGCACATATGTCATCCAACAATGTTTAAAAAAAAAAATCCCAGTATCCGAGTGGCGTTCCAGACCAGTGAAATCCAAGGAGCTAGAGTGGGAGCCAGGCAGTGGCATTTTTAAAATCCACAAGGAATTCTAGTAAGCAGGAAAGTTTTAGAACCCACAGGCAAATCCGATGGTTGGAGGTGGGCCAGCTTTGAAAACCATTGTTTCTGCCTGGCGTTCTCCCAAGCCCTGTCCTAACACCCCAGCCCCTGCAGGGACATTCATGGTCACCTCCTCATCAGCATCTCTTGTCTGAACATTCTTTTCCCAGAGAGCTTACGTCTCAGCGTGAACCTGCACTTTGTGTTGGTGGAGGTGGTGCCAGGGGTGGATGGGGGCCATTTTTGCACCTGTGGTCTGTCTCAGATCCTGGCTGTGCCTCATGCTGGGCAGGTGTCTTTGCCTCCCCGACCCTCGGCTTCTTTGTCTGTAAAATGGGAAGCCTGGACTCGACCCAAGGACTTGACCCCGCATAGCTGCTCACGGGCATGTGGGCAGAGCCCGTGTCCCGCCCTTCTGGGGTTCAGGCCTGGCCTCATCTGCAGGACGTCCTGGAGTGGAAGACAGCTCGCACTTTCCTGTACTGGCGCCTGCGCCGCCTCCTCCTGGAGGACCAGGTCAAGCAGGAGATCCTGCGGGCTTGTGGGGAGCTCAGCCACGTGCACGTCCAGTCCATGCTGCGGCGCTGGTTCGTGGAAACGGAAGGAGCCGTCAAGGTGTGCCTGGGGTAGGGGTGAGGCCATGGGCTCTGGGGGCATAGGGTGAGGGCAGCCTGCCTAGCAGCGGGTCCTACTGAGCATGCTCTGTACCCCCTGCCAGGGCTACCTGTGGGACAACAACCAGGTGGTGGTGCAGTGGCTGGAGCAGCACTGGCAGACGGGGGAGGGCCTGCGCTCCACCATCCACGAGAACATCAAGTACCTGAAGCGCGACTCCGTCCTCAAGACCATCCGGGGGTAAGTGGCTGCCCCTGCCCACCCTGGGCTTCTCTTTTAGCCGCTCTACTCCAGAGCAGCCCCTGGAACCTGCCACACTGACCAGGGCTAGGGCCTCAGTCTTGGGCATGCCAGCAAGGAAACTGCACCTCTGATGCCCAGTCTCCAGTACTCTGGCCAGAGCACCTGGGGCATGATCTAAGGTCGAGACATGTGCTAGACAATGTCCATGGAAGAAGGCAATTACAGTACCAGTGTACCTGGTGCAAATAATTTGAAACCTACTCATCTTTTTTTCCATAATATGGGTGTTCCCTGAGCTTTTCAAAGAAACCCTCGTAGATGATAACTTGCCAGAGTCACAGTGAGTACAGTTGCTGGGACCAGCAGGTGGCGTAATGGTAATGTCGCTGGACTCCCACATAGTTGACTGCAGTTTGAGTCCCGGACCAGCAGCTTAAAACCTTGGCCGGACGCCTATGCATGCATGTCCAAGGTCCCGAGAAGAGAATGAAGGAAAAGGAATTATGACATGGCTATCCCCTTGGGGGGGTGTTTTCTCACTTTCTGTCACTTTGTCTATCTGTCCCACTGGCCAGCAAATGTGCCCTATAGCAAATATCACTCTTATAAAGAGAGTGCAGTTGGCTAGAACATTCTAAACCAGCTGCCGGCTCCATCCAGTCTCAGCCCTTCCACACCTCTCCTGCCCTGCTGTCACATGGTCCCCTGTGAGGTGCTGGGAGGGCACATCAGACCCCATTTGGGGATGAAGCGGAGGCTCAGAGGAAGTGCCTTGTCTCAGGCCTCATCACACAGCTAGTGTCTAGCAGGAACTGCGGGATCTCAAGGTGATCTGGTCCCCAGGTCGTAGCCCCTCCTGCCCCACGGGGCCCTTACAATCCCCATGAGACCCCAGCAGGAGGGCCTCGGGAGCTCTGGGTTCTTGCCCACCCAGGATCACAATTCCCGCACAAGGTCTTGGCCAACCTCAGGGCACTGAGCTCAGTGGAGGGAAGGAGTCGCCCAGCCCTTCTCTCCCGTCCCTCACAGCCTGGTTCAGGAAAACCCCGAGGTGGCTGTGGACTGCGTGGTGTACTTGAGCCAGCACATCAGCCCATCCGAGCGGGCCCAGGTCATTCACCTGCTATCCACCATGGAGACCCCGGCCTCCACTTGATGCAGACTCCCCAGCCACTCCCAGGACCACGGACAAGAGACATCAAGATGACCCACCAACCACCAGCTCTCGCCAGGACCTTGAGACTCGCTTTTAAAAAAGTATAATCAGGCATTTCTGCAGGGCTGCTGGACCCCAGCTGACCCCTGTTTGAATAAAAGGCTCAGGAGTGTTCTTTCCAAGCAGAAATAGACTCCTCTGCGTTATCAGGAGGTTCCATTTCTTTCGTCTCTTAAGATGACATTTCTGCTACATCACTGAATTGAATTGAACCCACACATCCTGGTTTTCTTCTCCCTAGTGTTGACATGTGGGATCCAGGTGTTCTTGAGGCTCGTTTTATATCAGATAATGGAATCTTTATTTTTTTATTCCAAGACCAGCATTTGATGTCATAAGCATCTTATATATTTCAGCAGAGTAAACAGGACAGGAGAAAAATACAGAGATGAGACTAGAGGAAACCTATTTTTGTAACGATGCTTATTCAGATACTGTCTAGCCACCCAGGAAAGGGATGTGTTGCTTTTTAATTGAGAGACTAAAAGGACATTTTTATCCCCAAGTGGCCCTGACGAATCACTAGGAGTGTCCTACAGGCAGGCCACACCCAGCTCACCTTAGCAGAAAGGGAAACTGAAGCTAACAGAAGGGCCTGGCCCAGCTCCAGGGTGTTTGGACAGTGCTCGGCCTGCCCTTCCCTACAAGGGGGCAAGAACTAGCCCTCCCCTCCCAGTTCCCCCTGCAGGATTAGCCACCTACCCCTGGCATGTTCCCCCCCATGCCCTGGTTGGGAGTACCGAAGCAGAGGCAAAGTCCTCACCAGACTTACAATCGCCACCACCCTCCAGCAGGCTCCTCGAGTCTCTGTCACTTTCTCACCTGTTGGCTTGATGTCTTTGATGGGATACAGCTCTGAGAGGCAGAGATGTTGGTGACCCAGGACTGGACTATGACAATCACGCTGGTGTGCTCAGGGAGGACTTTGCAAAGTGCCCACCAGCTCCTGGCTGTCGAGGCTGCATGGCGTGAGGCCTGCGAGTTCTGGACCCTCCCATCGTCTCTGTGTGGGGGACTGGTCACTGCCCGCTGCTGCGGTGGGATGCTTATCCAAGGATGCTGAGTCACACCTGGCCAGTTTGGAGACCAACGAGGTTACCCAGGGAAGCCTCTGCAAGCCGGGGAGTTTAAGGATGTCTGAGTTTTTACAAAGCAGTCTGGCCATTAGCCAGCGACAGCCCTCCTAAGGAAGACATGCAGGTCAGAGCATGCTGGGAGCTGAGGCATCGCCATCCTATCCCAAGGCTGGCAGGACAGGGGTGGGAAAGAACTGATGCTGCTTTGGGAACTGAAGGTTCTTCTTACAGGAAGACCATCTTGGTTGTGGAGGGAAAGACAGGCGAGAAATAGCTGCTACCCAGGGATGGTGACCAGAACCACTGATGGGAAATGTGCACAATAAACTAATTTTTGAAGGAAGTTTGTTGGCCTTGACTCATTGTAGGGACCACGCCCCCTCCTGGTGGGTCTCCTGCGGTGTGGTGAAAGGGAGCAGGGACTGGATTGAACTGTCTCGGTGGTTTTCACAATCTTCCCCTTTTCAAGCCCTGGAAGACTTTGTTGGGGAAACAAAACAAAACAAAAAAACAACGGTATTGTTGGGACAGCCAGTGGCATGATAGTTGAGACAGCAGGGCCCTACGTGGCCGACCTCAGGGTTTGAGTCCCAGACCTGGCAGCTTGAAAACCAGACCAGGCGAATGTGTATAAATGTCCAAGAGCCCAAGAGAAGAATGGAGGAGGGGTTGTGGCCTGGCCTTCCCCGCTGGGGGGATAATTTTTCACTGCCCCCCCTCACCTCTCTTTGGTGAGTACATGTACTCTATAGCAAACGTAACCCCAAAAAAAGATTAAAATGGTAGGTAGCCTAGTCTGTCTGACACAAGAGGGAAGTGCCCTGAAGGAAGGAGGGTGGGATGGCTCAGGCACTTTTGCATGCAGTTTCCATTACTTTCCACCATCTTTATCCACTTTACTTTGTAGACAAGAACGGTGAGGCTCAGAGACGTACAGGACTTGTCCATAGTCACACAGGGACAGACAGGGAGGTTAATCAAGTCCACTGGACTCCAGAGTCAGCCACTTTTACAATTAGGTCCATGTGGGAAGAGCAGGTTTAAGCCACCTTTAGTAACTGGCTGTACAGAGATCCAAACAGCAGAACACCTCTGTCCCCACCCCTGCAGCTGTTCAGAACACAGGGACTTTTCAGGTTTTTTTTTTTTTTTTCAAAGCAGACTTGTTACTTTTATTCTGTGCCACATCTTCTCTTTTTCAGGCATTTCTGTCTACCAGGGACAGGCCAATTGGAGTTCTCTATTCCCCTTGACAATGATTGGCCCATGTGTGGGCGTGTATCCCTGGTAGAGCCAATCAGAATCCTTCAGGAGGTGCTATGACTACTGGGAGGCACCAGCAGCTGTCAGTGCTGACATGTGGAGAGAACTTGCCAGAGAATGAATCCAGTACAGAAGGAAGCAGAGCCAGAGATGGAGGGAGAGACTCAGTCCTGTCAGTACTGTTTGAATGCCTGCATCGAGCCAGGCCTGAAGTCAGTCACCTCATCACAAGAAACTATATATGTGTATTTTTTTAAAGAATGATTTAATTTTATTTATGATTGTTATTATTAAATTTGCTGTAGGGCATGTACACTCATGAGGGAGAGAGAGACAGAAAGTGAGAAAGCAAGCTGCCATATCCAGGACTCGAACTGTGGTCGGCCATGTAGGAGTCCAACACCTTAACCACCACACCACCTGCTGACCCCTACACAGTATTTTTAATGCTCATGCTAGCTGGAATTGGGATTCGTCTTTGGACTTGTTAATATATAGATAGCTGTGCGCCCTTATCCCCAGGCATGGCCTGGTTAGCCCAGAAGGCAGCAGTGAACATATCCCCAGATCAGCACACTGAAGACCCTGCCATCACCAAACACGTCGGAAGGGAGATGAATTAAAGATAAGCTGAAATGCAGTCAGCCCTCTGCGATGGGGGAAGGGGGAGCTCTGATTCAGTTCCATCAAACCCAGAGGCTACAGGTGGACTGCCTAGTGTTTTCAGCTTAATTTCAATATCCACACATGTTGCTGGCTGCTGGCGGCAGCTGAGGGAGGTGAGCCCCTTGGCAGTCAGCTCTAAGTGCTATCTCTGAGAAGGCTGGCAGCACAGCTGGTCATGAGGGGAAGGGAGGAAGGGCCAGATGCCAAGTGTGGACAGCGGCCTGGTTGAGCAGCTCAGGTGCAAAGGCAATGTTCCTGATGACAACTGTGGGCTACAGGCCGGGATGCCTGCAACGGCTTCCAATGTGGGTGCCACGCACACTCTATCCTCATTTTAATTCATATGTTCTGTTTTTGTCTTCATGATAGCAGGTACATGAGAGGGAGGAGAGAGAGAGAAGGACCCTTCATGACGTCGTTATGTGGTAATCTGCCCTCCCCATCCCTCTAGGTCCTTAGGGGCCTGGGTATGTTTTCAGGCTGACCAGGGATCCAAACCCATGGTTCTAGCCTTACAGTGCATCTGCGTTACCATAGCACTGCAACAACTGGACCTGTTTTTATTTTAAGTTTATTCTATGAGAGAGAGGGAGAAAGAGACCTCCAACAGTCTTCACACGGCAGTGTCCCCCGAGTCCCTACCAGACTGATCACAGGTAGGCACACTCATGCACATACACTCCCAGCATGCTCAGGAAGGCCCCAGGATATGAACTTTGTGCCTCTCTCCATGTGGGTCCAGTTGGATTACCACTGAGCTACCACCTGGCCCTATTTGCATTTTCATAGATGGGAAAACTGAGACTCAGACATGCACAGCCCTGTCCAAGTTCACATGGCTGCTAAGAGCAGCAGCCAGGCTGGGACCTCAGCTGGTGCAGTCCTGTCCTAGGTCTTGTGCTTTCCCAGCAGTCGCCCGGGCTCCACACCTCCTGCCTCCCTCCCTGGTTAATTCAGCCTGTGCCATCATTTGGCTCCTTGTCCAAACTCTTGCAATCCATGCCAACCCCATGCTGCAGGTGAGTTGTAGTCTCTTCTTCCCCTAAAAGCTCTCCCTGGCTGGCAGATCTTGGAGCCCCTTAACACTCAGAGAAACCTCCTGTCCTTGCATACACAGTAGGCTTCTCCACAAATGTGAGCCACTGCACACCTCCTCACTGTCCTTCGATGCTGCATCTCAAACTCTTGCAGACCCAGCCTGGCATCTGTAGAACCTCCTGGAAGCTGGTAGAGAGCAAAGTAGCAGGCCAGTCTGGCTGATCTCGGTGAGGAGCATGTTCACCTTTTCCCATCTTGCTGTGGCTACCCCAGAATCCACTCCTTTGGAGTTGCCCTGGAGCCCCGTGAGCCACACCTCTGGGGAAAAGGGAGGGAGAAGGATTGTTCCTCAGTGCAGGCTGGAAAAGCATGCAGGGCTCCCAGTCCTGCATCTGCCTATGTCACTAGTAGGCACCTGGCCAACCCTCTGCACTCTGTCCTGGTATCTTCTCATCTTTCCTTTGGCCATTTTCCAAATTTAGCAGGGGTGCTTGTTAAAAATCTCAGGGTGAGCCCAGCCCCTTTGTAGCAGCTTACCAGCTGCTGGACAGTTTAAGAGCCAGAAGCCATACACTGACCACAGTTCAAGTCTCTGGCCTGGTTGACCTGAAAAACAGGCTGGGCATGTGCACCCATGTGCAGGATCCTGGCTGGCTGGGGGACTGGAGGACAGGGACTGCAGTGAGATAGAGCTCCACGAATAATAATGTAAAGGAAAAACATCTTACTTTGGGGCCAGCAGATGGTATAGTGGTTGGAGCACTGGACTCCCAGCATGGCCGACTGTAGTTCAAGTCCCGGACCCAGTGGCTTTTAAGCACATGCCAGGTGCACGTGTGTGTGTTCCCAAAATCCCAGGAGGAGAAGGGAGTGCTGTGTGGCCATCCCTGAGGGGGTGATTTCTTGCTTTCCCTTTCTGTCTCTTTGGTGAGCACTCACACTCTATAGCAAAAATCTCTCTGAAAAAAAGAACAACCAAAGAAAAACCTCTTGGGACCAGCAGTTAGCGTAATGGCTATGTCGCTGGACTCCCACGTAGTCGATCGCGGTTGGAGTCCCGAACCGGGTGGCTTAAACTCACGCCGGGCGTGTGTGCGTGCGTGCGTGCCCAAGATCCCGAGAGGAGAGGGGAGGAGAAGGGATTGCGGCATGGCCATCCCCCCTGGGGGGTGATTTCTCGCTTTCTGTCTCTCTCTGTGTGGTGAGCGCACATGCCCTATAGCAAAAACCTCTCCAAAAAAAAAAAACCCTCTTATTTTCTTTAAAAAAGAAATAAATAAAAGCCCTCAGATTGGCCTTAGCCAGTCCTCCTGATTCAGAATCGTCCAGGCAGGGATCTGGAAAACTAGAGCTTAAAAAATCAAAGGCTTCAGGTTAATGCTGTTCCCGGGCAAGTTTGGTCACATGACTTGGTTCCTCAAAAATGCTCGTTAATTACAGGAGTGGCCTGGGGGAGCTCCTAATCGGGAATAGACGAGATGCCTCTGCCTCTAGGGGCCAGGATCCAAGGGGGAAGCCTTGGAAGTTGAGGATGCGGGCCCTAGAGGTGAGCCGGGCTGCTCTCCCTCTCCTGGGAGCATGTCCTGCCTGAGGCAACGGATTGTAACAGGCCTGTGTGTGTCGTGGTGGGGTTTGCTGTGCCAAAGGCCAGGTTCCTGAGCACCTGCACTACTGTAGACTCATGGTACCCCTCGGGGATGGGCAAGAGCCCTAGCCTGGCTCTCACCTGTCTCTGGCTGCCAGTGAAGTTGCCCATGTCTTAGCTGCCGACTCGGTCTCTGTCCTCCTACCCCGGGACTCAGGGCTGCAACCCTAGAGACTGGAGGCCTGGCATCCACGCCCAGTCGACACAAACTGGGGTCTAGAGGAGTGGACATCTGGCTCTGCCACCTCATTTCCTACTTTTGACCAGATCTTTTTATTCCTTTCCCTAAACCTCTACCAACTGCCCCCTCAGGGCCCGCAGTGCGCTGGGCAAGGCAGACCTGTGGTTAAATGCTAGCTAGTCATGGAACCTTGAGGAGTTTTTGCTTTCTTAAATCTTGCCAGAGGGTGTGTGTGCTAGAGAGAGCGTTCCCGTGGGGCAAGGTCACTGCAATCCCTTCTCCTCCATTTCTCTTTCCTCTGGGAATTTTGCATGTTTCTCAAGCCACTAAATCCAGAACTCAGACCACACGGTCGGCCATGTGGGATCCAGCTGCCTTAACCATTGTCACCAGCTGGCTTGAATTTTTGCTCTTTTCTGTTTTTTTTTTTCTTTTCTTTTTTGGAGAGGTTTTTGCTATAGGGCGCGTGTGCTTGCCAGAGAGATAGACAGAAAGTGAGAAATCCCCCCCCAGGAGGGATGGCCACACCGTAATCCCTTCTCCTACATTCTCCTCTTGGGATCTTGGGCATGTACACAATGTGAGTTTAGGCCACTGGGTCTGGGACTCGAACTGAGGTTGACTACATGGGAGTCCAGTGACACAGCCATTATGCCAACTGTTGGTCCCAATTTTTGCTCTTTTGAGTAGCAAGGAGATGGTACCCTCTGAGCCCCATGAAATGTGATGAAAGACTGGGACGACACAGGGCTGTTTGAATCCCATCTCAACCCCTTATGAATAATATGTACGCTACCTAGCTTCTCTGAGCCTCAGTTTTCTCCTCTGTAAAGTGGGAATATATTGGTTTTCTAGGGCTGCTGAAAAAAACCACAAACTACGTGCCTTAAAACAACACGAATGTATCATGATATAGTTCTGGAGGCCAGAAGTCCCAAACGGGCTGCAATCAAGGCTTTGGTAAGGCTGCATTTCTTCCCGGTGTTGCAGGGAGAATCTGTTTTCTTTCCTTTTCCAGCTTCTAGAGGCCTCGTGCCTTCTAGAGCAATGCAGCACCTTCGGATCTGACCCCGAGCCTTCTGTTCTCTTACTTCCAAGGACCCTTGTGGTCACATTGACCCACCTCAGTAATCAGGATAACCTCCCTCGTTTAAGGGCAGTGACAACGGGGAGTTCATCTGCATCCCCTTGTCATGTACACAACATACTCAGGTTATGGGGATTAGCACACAGCCACCAGTGGGGGGTGCTGTTCTGCCCACCAGGGGATAATCACCGCTTTACCCCACAGAGGAGGAGGAAAGTGAGAGACAGTGTCACAACGCCCCAGCTAAGCACCTGCTCCAGGTCAGCACGCGTGGTACTATTTGTGTTGTTGGGATGTGAATGGTTGCTGTGGCGGGGGAAGTAAAGATGCAGGCCCTCTGAGCTTCAGTTTTCTCTTCTGGGAAGTGGGAGCGCCCACACACAGCAGGTGCACACACGGTGGCAGTTTGTGTTTTTCTCCGTTAGTTGACCAATCCAGGAGCTTCAGCAAACGCCTCATTCCTTCTACCTCTCCTTCCTGCTCCTGCTGCTGTCTAGTTGGGCTCTGGCTAGGACGGCAGCCCTGCCCAGAACTTGTGACCCTGTGACCTTGGCATCTTTGCCTTGACTACAGGTACATGGCCCCCACTTCCCATGCCAGGCCCCCTGGGGATACCTGGCCCCCACTGCCCGTGGCAAGGAACAGCTGTGAGACACCACTGTGGGTTCCCCAGCTCTTCCCATCTGACCTAGTGGCTCAGGCTTCATCCCTCCAGTTGAGGGCGCCCTGTCCCATGGCTCCTGCAAGTCCCTGGGGTGACTGATACTGGCTGTGACCAGCATGGCCTGGGTCACTCATGGCCCTGCTTCAGCCTGCCAGCAGTCGCAGGGCTCTTCTTGTCAAAGCCTAGGAGCCGAGCCAAGGGGGGACAACAGGTGCTGGCAGAGAAAGACGGCAAGGCTGCTGTGGGCATCTCTGCCTCCTGCCTGGTCTCCGCAGGCCACTCACAGCCACCGTCCAGACACTTCCTTACTCATGAACCATCCCAGATGCCTGGGCCTGGTCTTCCCAGTGAGGCTACAAGCCACTTCCAGCCAGGCTCGACGTAGGCTCCTAATTTATATGCCCTTCTGTTATCATGGGCCACAAATTATCCTGCTTTACTCTTCCGAGCCTCAGTTTCTTCACCTGCAGAAGGCGTGCAACAGCTAACTAGACACGCCTCAGAGGGCTGTTGGGGGCACTGAATACGCTCACAGAGAGCCGTGAGTATCCCAGAGCCGGCACATGACAGGTGTCTCCTCTGACCCAGGTGTACCCCAGCGAGGCAGATCAGAGCAGCGCTGGCTCTGGAGCCTGACACAGACCCGGTCCTACCCAGCCTTTCTGCGCAGCAAACAGCATTCACAGCCCCTGCCCAAGACGATGCCCGTCAAGTACCCGGCACTAAAGAACAGTGAATGGAGGCCATGTGAGTTTTACAGATCATGACAAAGTCCCCCTCGTTTTTGGTGCAATGAGAACTTGGCATCAGGAACAGGGTTTGGTATCATTTGCTGTTGCCTCCCTGGGCCTGTTTCCCCATCTTCACCCGTGAGCGGTGGGTGAGTGGCATCGTTATCCTTTACACCCTCTCCACCTGCCCCCAAGCCATAGAGCTGCAGTTTCAGCCTTTATTGACAGAGACAATTATTCAATACTACCTTACAGAGACGTGGTGCGGCCCGAACATGGGGTCTTCATTAACAATTTCAACATCTTAACTTCTTGGAGTTCATGGTACATAAAGCACTGAGCGGTGCTGGTCAGACGGCCTGAGCTAGGATGCGTCTAAAGATGACAGATACCCAGCAGAAAGTTCAGAACTAAGAAGGACTTTAAAACAAGGCTCTTCGAGACAAGGCTGAATGCCAACCTCCCAGGTGGCCGGCGGGCCTGTTGGTTAACCGGAACGTTCTGGCTCGAAGGCTCGGACACTCTCAGGCACGGAACTCCATCCATGGGACAGCGCTGGGTCGGGGGAGGAGGACGAGCCTGTTGCTACAGCTGCCGTTTAGTCTGGGCTTAGCGGGAGGAGCCGTTTTCGCCTTTGCCTTCTCATCCCCCCATCACTCCCTTGTCTCCCAGCTAACTCACCTGTCTGCAGAACTTGCCACTCACAAGATCAGGAATTGGCAATGAAAGAAAAAGAAACACAAAAATGGGTGCAGGACAAAGACAAGCCAGTGCCTATAAATACTCTGCCCTGCAGCTTCCTCAGTCCTCATCGCTGCGTGGTCAGGCTTCACCTGGGTCACACTTGACTTTCTTTCCAGGAGGGGTGTCGAAGTCCCAGCACAAAAAGTGTCCCCCATCCAACTCCTCCCATGCCCACTCTGTTTTGCCTTTAGAAATCCCCTCAAACCCAAACAATAGCACAACCCCCCTTGGGTGCACATGGGAAGAGATCTGAATCGTGACTGAACAGTTAGAAAAATATCTGATCTCTAATATTAAAAGAGTATTCACAGTATCAAAAGTGCGTGCTTGTTCTAAAAAGAAGCTCCAGGCTACCAAGGGCTTAGGAGCCGGTTAAAGGTTGATTCACTGATAATTTAGGAGTTAGGACAGCCCAGGACGTGGGGGTAATGAGGACTTTCATTCCAGGGCCTCGGTCTGGGTTCACGGATGGGGATGATAACCCACAATAAATATAAATAAGTGTACACTCGTCCGCAGCAGCCAAGTGGCCCAGGAGCACATTCTATGAAATTCTAACAGACAACGGAAGGTGCCTGGGCAGGCCCCATGCCAGAGTTCAGCCTATTCCAGCCAAGAGAAGTTCAAGGTCCCTGGGTTCCCTCCCAGCCTCAGGACATGTCCACTGGGGGTCGAGACAGATGTTCCATCCAGCTCAGCTGATCTCCCCGAATAATAAGTTAAAAGGCCTTCCCAGGGGAGTGTTTTCACAGGGCACCAAGACACCCCAAGTGCATTGCAGGTCTCCGAGGAGGGCTCAGCCAGGGGACTCTGGTCCTCAGCACAGCTGGGATGGCAGCTAAAGTCTCAGAGTATCAGGACCAGGGACAGGCTGGTCCCCAGCTGCTCTCTTGTCTTTGACTCTGGAAAGCCCCAGAGGCTTCCTGGAGGAGGTGTGAGAAGACAGGGTGCCAAGAGGGACTGTTCCCTGCCCAGCCAGCTGCTGGTTCAGATGTCTGTGGGAGGATGAGGGGGTCTTTTTCCTGGAAGACCCTGCTCTGGACAGTTCTGGGCAGGAGCCAGCTGCCAGGATGCTGGGCAGCTGAGGGCATCAGCTCAGAGCAAGGCGATGGGCTTGTTCCCTGGTGTGCCCAGGTACTGGGAGGACGCAGTGGGGGCCGATGCGCCCACACTGTCCGGGGTGGAGTACGTGGTGTAGAGACCTGTCACCTGCAAGTCTGGAAAGGACTGGTCACTGCCGCCCGAGACGGGGGTCAGGCCTGACGCCCCCAGGTCACAGCCAAGCGGGGAGTCTCCAAAGGCTCCCAGCGTATCCAGGCTGAAGCCTTCGTCCTTCATCTCCTCCCACAGGTTCCCTTTGAAAGACAGAAGCACTGGGTGAGCTGCCTTCAAATCAGACAGGCCCGAGTTCAAATCCCCATCTCAGGAGGAGGTAAAGACCATGTTGGCGTTTAAGGTCATGTGTGCAGAGAGTGTGAAGGAGCCAGGTTCTGGCCCCCACTTCCCCTTCCCTTCCCTTTGTGTGTCCCTGGGAATGTCACTTCCTTCTCTGAGCCTAGGAATAAAATGGAGATGGTCAGAAAACCTTCCTCCCAGCACCGGGGCAAGGGTAGAGAGGACGTGTGAAAGCATTTAGTTCTCACTAAGCTGGACCCTCAAGGGCAAAGCCAGGGACCAAACACTGTTCTCCCTTTCTTCAGCTCAGTCCTTTTTTTTTTTTCTTCATTGTCAAAGAGTGTGTGACAGAGAAAGGGAATGGGAGAAAGCATTCCCAGTGGGGCCTGGTCACGCTGCAATCCCTTCTCCATTTCGCCATCCTGTCAGGGACCTCGGGGAACATGCATACACACACACACCCAGTGTGTCGTTCAAGCTGCTGGAGCTGGGACTCGAACTGCAGTTGACCATGGGGATTTGGCTCTCTTAACCACTAGGCTACAGGGCCGGCCCTCTTCAACACATTCAACTATGCAGCCATCCCAGAGAGGCAGGGAGGTTCCAGGATGCCCATTTTGCTGTGGTGCCTGACTTGCAGACAGACTAGCTAGCCACTAACTGGTCTGCTTCCCTCATGGCGGAGGATAGCTTGGCCACAGCAGGTGCCCCTGTGTTGGAGGCAGGATGGGCTCTGGGCCTTTGAGGGAATGCAACACTCCCCCCCTTTCTTTAGCTGGTCTCTTCATTTAGCTGGACTCGCATCCCATTTCTTGGGGATGACCAGGGTGCAGCGGTAGGTCAGGGAGTGACCTGGCACGCTGAAGTGACCTGGCGTGTGAGCTGAAGCAGTTACTGATGAAAAGTTTAGAAGGCACTGAACTCCCACCTGGTCGACCATGGTTCAAGTTCCGGACCCCGAGGCTTCAAACTTAAGCCAGGCACATTTGTATGCGTGCCCAAAATCCCAAGAGGAGAATGGAGAAGGGATTGTATAGCATGACCATCCCCCACTAGGGGGGTGATTTCTCGTTTTCTGCGTACACACCCAATAGCAAAAATCTATCAAAAAAAAAAAAAAAGAAAGAAAGAAAAAAGAAAAAGTTTAGAATCAGAGACTTGGGTTTAAATCCCAGCTCTGCCACTTGATAGCCCAGTGACCTCACTTCGCATTGCCTCGGCTTCCCCAGTGGCAGGGTGGGTTCTGAAACGGCGGCAGTCCTGAGGATTGTGGTGGGGAGGCTGATGCCTGTGGAGTGGGTGGTGCCTGGTATACAGCAAGTGCCCATGAACTAGAATTCGCTAGTGTGAGGTGGTTGCCATGGCAGTAAAGCTGTGGAGGACAAATGCAGACAGGACAGACCTGCTCCCCCTTGCTCTCCCGTCTCTTTGCCCCCTCGCATCCCTGGACTTTTCCCCTCCCAGTTCTGGACCCGTCACCTGCTCCTGCGGCCTCACCCTGCAGAGCAAAGTCCATGATGCTGGGGTCCAAGGCGTCCACCTCGGTGTTCATGTCGGTGCTGATGTTGACGAAGTCCACGGGAGCCCTTCCCAGGGATGGGTGCGGGAGGGGGCTGGGGCTCAGGGCTGGCAGGGCATGCAGGGGCGGTGTCTGGGCTGGGGCTGGAGAGTCTGGAGCGAGATGCGCCTGGGGCTGCACCTGGTGGTGCAGGGGGACTGACTGCAGAGAAAGGGTCATCAGCGGCTGGGGTGGGAGCTGGGACATGGCCAGGCAGCCATGGGCCACCGTGGTGGCGTGAGTCAGCACAGGAGCCTCGGGCTCCCCGGGTTTGCCAGAGCGCCGGCAGCTTTCCGGCCGGTCCGAGATCAGCTTGTCCAGCTCCTCTGCAGGCAAGCAGGAGAAGTCACTGAGAACCCACCCCACAGTTACCAGGCCTCAGCCCAGCCTGGGCTCAAATCCCAGTGTTACCACCCATGCCATCTTAACAAGCCTCCGGGCCTCTCTGAACCTCTGTCTCATCTCTCAGATCTCTGCACAGGGTTTTGGAGACGTAATGACATCACAGATTTGGGCAGGATCTTTGAGGAATGAGAAGCACCCTCAGGCAATAACACCCCCTCATTTGGAGAGTGCAGTATAGCACAGACCTGTCACCTGGGACTCCCCTTGAACCTCGTAACAGCCTGCACAAGGGAGTAACCTGCACATGGGATTGCAAAGCCCATGAGGTGGGACAGAACTGATCAGCATACCAGGGGTCCTAGCTGCTCTTTGAGACCAAAGAGACATTACAAAGTGTTTAAAAATGGGATTAAAAATGGAATCCTCTTTAATGCTCTTGGATATAAACAAGTAAAGACAGATGACTCTTAGGTTGGCCTAGTTGCCTTGGTGCAGTATTAATACTCTTGCCCCGTAGTGCTGGAAGCCATATGGCAACCACGGTCCAGATCTGGGTCAGCCTGAAAAGCAGGCCAGTGGGCGTGCAGGCAGGTTCCCGGGATCCTGAGGAGCTGGGGCACGGGGGAAAGGTGACCGTGGCAAGACGAGACTCTTCCACGTACATGTGCTTTCTGTCATTAAAGATCACTCCTGGGTAACTTCTGGTGGTGACCGTGTCTCGTGGAATGTAACAGTGTGGAGACCGGGCTGGTGAGGTCCTAAGATCTCTTTGGGTTGTACCCATTTTATAAATGAGGACATGGTAAGCTGGTGGTGTGGTAGTTAAGGCAGTTGATCCCCTGTAGCTGACTTCATGGCTTCAGACCTAGACCCAGTGGGTTGAAAAACATGTCTGGGGGGGTCAGTAGGTAAGGTGGTGGTTGGGACACTGGACTCCCACATGGTTGCCTGTGGTTTGAGTCCCAGACCTGGTAGCTTACTTTCTCACTTTCTTTCTCTCTGTCTCACACAAGCACATGACCTATAGCAAAAAATTTAAAAATAATAATGATACATAAACTAAATAAATAAATCTAAAAAAGAAAAGCACATCAGCATAAGTGGATGCATGCCCAAAATCCCTAGAGGAGACTGAAAGAGAAGGGATTGCAGTGCGGGCAACCCCTACCCACAGGAGTGCTTTCTCACTTTCTCTCTCTCCCTCCCTCTCTGTCTCTTTCCAGTGATTATACATGCCTGGTAGCAAATTGAAAAAATAAATAAAAAAGGAAAAGGAAAGGAAACAGTCACTCTTAGAATCTAGAAGGTGAAATGACTTACCCAAGATGTCACACTAACTACACATCAGGATTGGCCTTGGGTCTCCGAGCTGTCTGTGGGGTGGGTACTGTGATACCCCTTGACCTAGGGCCTGCTGCAGGCCCACCTTACTGAACTGCTCCTCTGTGAGCCACGCTCCCAGCCCCCTTCTCAGCCAAACACCAACCATGGATCAAAAATATTGGGGGAACAAATAGAATTAAAAAAAAAAAAGAAAAAGAATACAACTATACATTAAAACAACTATTTACATAACCTTTATACTGTATGAGAGATTACAAGTAATCTAGAGATGACTTAAAGTATACAGGAGGGCGTTCATCAGTTATGTGGGAATACTATGCCATTTATGTGTAGAAAACGATTCAAGTGTCCTTGGATTTCGGTACCTGCAGGCCTCCAATGAATCCATACGTATATGCACACACATAATATAACTATATATGTGTGTGCACACATATATATGTATATATAGATATGTGTGTACATATATATCATTTAATTTTTTTAGAATTATTTAATTTTATTTATTAATTCATTCATTTTAATTTGACCAGAGAGAGACAGAAAACGAGAGAGAGAGAGAGAGAAAGCGAGAAAGCAAGCCACCAGGTCCGGGACTCAAACTGTGGTCGGCCATGTGGGAGTGTCCAGTGCCTTAACCACCATGCCACCTGCTGGTCCTTGATATATATATATATAATATAAAAGTATATATGTGTGTATACACACATACATATATGTTGTATAAATACAATTTTTAAATGGGTATGGATACATGTATGATATAAACTATGATCATGCTGTGAATATTCATTCATGATGTGCCTTTTTATTTTCTGGAGAGGTTTTTGCTATAGGGTGTATGCACTCAACAGAAAGACAGAGAGAGAGACAGACAGACAGACAGACAGAAAGTGAGAAAACACCCCCAAGTGATTTCTCCACACCAAAATCCCTTCTCCTCCATTCTCCTCTTGGGATCTTGGGCACATGCGCACATGCACCCAGAGTTTAAGACACTGACTGGGTCCAGGACTCAAACCACAGTCGACTGCATGGCAGTCCAGCGACATAGCCATTATGCCAACTGCTGGTCCCCGTGCCTTTTCATTTACTATGTTGGGAGTATTGCCTGTTTTGGGGAGCCAACAGATGCACGCAGTCACCAGAGGGGGAGAGGGGGGAGGAAGAGCGAGAAGGTAAGCACCCTCCGATGAGGTATGATCGTGCTGTCATCCCTTCTCCACCGTCTCGCCACCCTGCTGGGATTTTGGGCAGGCACATGCAGCACATGGCATGTTTTTCAAGCTGCTGGCTGGAATGTGAGCCGCAATCGGCCATGTGGGATCCAGCTCCCTTAACCACTAGGTCACAGGGCCTGCCTGGAACCACTCCTTTACCTTCTGAAGCTATTTTAGGATATTTTTCATCTCTGATACTTACATAGTGTGCTATTATATGTAACCATCCCCCACTGCAGGATTTTAGGTTGCTTTCAGTGTTCGTTTGTTTATTTGGTACAGGGTGCATACGCTTGCCAAAGACAGAAGGAGGGAGGAAAAGTGAGATGTCACTCCCTCAGGAGGGAATGGCCATGCTGCAATCTTTTCTGCATTGTCCTGGGATTTGGGGAATGTGTGCTTATGCAACATCATTTTCAAGCCACCAGGTCCGGGACTTGAACTTGCAGCCAGCCGTGTTGGATCCAGCTGCCTTAACTTCCATGCTACCTGCTGGCCTGCTTTCAGTTTTTTACTCTTAGAAATAATTTTTGGAGCCGGCAAGGGGCATGATGGTGAAGGCACTAGAATCCCACATGGTTGACTGCGGTTTGAGTCCTGGACCTGGTGGCTTGCTTCCTCTCTCTCTCTCTGATCAAAATTTAAAAATAATAATAGTAGTGACAATGAATACAATGAAATAAAATGAGTTTAAAAAAAGAAATAACTGTGTAATGGTGAACTTGGTTCACAGACTTTTTGCTTGAATCTTAGATTTCCTCAGCATAAATGATCAGAAGCAGAATAATTGGACTTGGATAGTTTTCAGGGGTTTGATATATTGCTTTGCCTTCATAAAGTTTAACAATGTACATTCCTTCTTATTGTACACGGCTTTTTCTTCACATCTTAGCCCACACTGGGCGTTGTTATTTTATCACTTTAAACACCTCTGCTAATGTGGTGGGAAAGCAACGTCACCTTGTGCTCGCGTATTTGGGCATTTTTGTCCAAGAAAGTAGGGGTGACTCATGAGATAAAACAGCTTTTCATGTTTCAGACCAGGGGGCCTCTCAATGGACCAGCCACTGGGCCGGGATGGAAGGAAGGTCCCCAGGCATCTGTCTCCCCATCATCCTCACTGAGGTATGTTGCAGGCTAGGCTGAGTGAGGAGACCTAGGGCTGGGGCTGGGCTGAGCAATGGTGTGTGCATGTATGTGTACATATGTGCACACGTGTGTACATGTGCATGTGCACGTGGTGGGGATGTCCAGGCCTCACCGGGGTTGGCCATGCTCCGGTGGATGGCGGCCAGGTCCTTTCTCTTCCACTTGTGCATCTCCTCCTCCATCTTGTCGATGCGGGCCAGGTTCAAGGCCCACAGGCAGCCCTTGCGAGAGGACCCACTCATCTTGTTCTCCACCTTCTCGAAGCACTTGTTCAGGGACAGGTTGTGCCGCACTGAGTTCTTCCAGCCGTCAGGTGCCGTCTATGAGGAGACGTGGGCACTCAAAAGACTCCTCTAGAGACCTCCCCAGAAATCCCTTCCTGTCCCGGGAACCTCAGACTCAAGCTTTCACACTCCCTCTCCTGGGGCTCCAACTCAGGCGGGATGCAGTGGAGGCAGGGGCAATATGGCAGTGTCCAACATTCGGCCTCCAGTTAGACAGGCAAGGGAGAGGGGTGAGGACTGTGGCAAACCGGAGGTTCTATGCCCTGATGAAATGGAAGCTGCCACCGTTTTGCTCCGGCCAACAGTTACTGCATGAGAAAGCAGCGCAAGGCAACTGGACCTCTCATTCGTTCTCTCCCACTCAGAAAGCAATGGGTGGGGAGAGTGCTGATAAAGGGATTACTGTCAAGGGTGCTAAGGGCTCATCACTGAACACTGCCGGCAGGTAGGGTCGGGGTGAAGGCGAGTCCCAGACCTAGCGGCTTGCTTTCTGCCTCTCCCCTCCCCCGGCTCACGCTCTCCGTCTTTCTCTGGTGAGCACATGTGCCCTATAGGAAAATTTAAAAAATATAATAATAATAGATGAAATTAAATAAATAATTAAAAAAAAACTCTTTGGGACCAGCATTTGGCGTAATGGCTGTGTCACTGGACTCCTATGTAGTCAACTGCGATTCAAGTCCTGGACCCGGAGGCTTAAACTCACGCCGGGCTTGTGTGTGTGTGCATGCGTGCCCAAGATCCCAAGAGGAAAAAGGAAGAGAAGGGATTGCAGTGTGGCTTTTCCCCCTGGGGGGTGATTTCTTGCTTTCTGTCTGTCTCTCTCTGTCTTTCTGGTGAGCGGATGTGCCCTATGGCAAAACCCTCTCAAAAAAGAAAAAAAAATCTATTCATATGTAATGGTTAGGTCGCCAGATATGGCAGTGCAGCTCATGTCCTACATGTGCATGCACACACACACACATGTGGACACACAAACCTGGTAAGGACATTGTCCAGACTAAGGACACTGCACCTTGGTACCTGCTGACTTCTTCCTCCTCGTGCTTTGATGCTAATACAGGTAATATCTAATAACCGACCGCAGCTCAGACCCTCACTCACTCACCGGCTTGGAATTACCCTCCCTCCCTTACAGCTGAGGGAACTGAGACTCCAAGAGGTAAAGGCTCTTTCCAGGCCCGTGTTTGGGTCATTACATTTACTGAGTCTGTAACTAGGCCAACTCTACCCGTTGCCCCTGGGGTGCCTGGCAAACAACTCTTCATCTGTTGGAGCCCAGTTCAAATGCCCCTTCTCTTTCTGAATCTGCCGTGTGAGTGCACACGCACCTGTCCTTACTACCAGGTATACAGACATAACTGGGGGCCTGAGAGGGTGGCCAAGATTGGCCCAGGGCCAGCCCTGGATTCTGATAGCACCGGGGAGAGGCTAGAGCACCCCCTGGTGCCCCCACTTGGACGAAGCGCCTCACCTTGAAGTAGGGGAAGTGCTCCTTCATGAAACTGTAGATCTCACTCACAGGCAGGCTTCCTGTCTTGCTGTTCTTCAGGGCCATGGCAATCAGACAGCTGGGGGAAACGTTGGGGCAGGCCAGGCATGAATGGGGTCTCAGGCTGACAGCCCCAGACCCCTCTGCCAGGAAGCCTGCCCTGGCTGACCCACTGGTAACATCCCCTACCCATTCGCACAGTGTTCACTCTTAATACTTACTCATGGCCCAGTGTCTTTCCCACCCCCTGCCCTTCTTGCCCCTGGGCTCAGCTCTGGGTGCTGATTTGAGAAACCTTATCTTTTTCTCCTTCCTCCTGGCCCCTTTCATGTATGTAGGCCTTTAGGCTTTGCCTAGGCCACTCTGCCTCCTCCCCAGGTGCCCATGAGTATCAATACTATTTACATTTGAGGAAACTGAGGCTCAGAGAGGCCAAGCCACTTCTCCAAGGCCACACAGCTTGTGAGTGATAGAGTAGGGTGCTGGACTCAGTGTCTGAAGCAAGTTCTCCCTCTTGGGGGCTGACTGACCACAGGATGGTCCGTCCTGAAAACAGGTCCCACTTCCCGGGGGGAGGGGGTGTCCCAACATCCCCTATGAATATGGCCACCACGCATAGCTGCCTGCAATGCCCTAAGGGCAGCCCTCACCCATCCCCACCCTGAGCCTTCCCGCCTCGGCCCGGCCTGCCCACCAGACCTCACCTGTATGAGTAGATGGGCTTGGGGTAGTGTTTGGGGTGCAGTTCCTGCGATGAATGCACAGCGATGTGGGGCTGGGGGTAGGGAGGCCGCACCCCAAATGGGGAGCCAAAGAGGCCCACGGGAGGACACTTCCCACAGGTGGGGGCAGAGGATGGGAGCGGAGAGAGAGAGAAGGTGAGAGAATATCAGACACTCCCAGGAACCTCGTCACTGCCCCAGTCTCTAAGAGTGCAACCCAGGGCGGGTCCCGTGGCCTCATGGATAAGGGAGCCCAATCCCACGTGCATGCAGCCGGAGTCCCAACCCTGGCAACTCGAGAAACACACCAAACACCTGTGTGTGCAAAGTCCCAAATCCCAACAGGACGGAGAAGGGATTATGGCACCACCACGCCCTATTGGGAGTGCTTTCTCCATCCCTCTCTCTGTCTCTCTGTGGCAATTTAAAAAAAATAAAAAGAGCACAGGTGTGGGGGTTTTAACTGCAGGGAAGAATCTGTCCATGGAAGGAGTATTCGGGGAGTTGAATGAATGAATGACCCCATGATTTGGGCATGGTGGTGAATGTTATCCTATGTACTGAGGAAACGGAGGCTCAGAGAAGTCCCTGGCCAGCCCAAGGCAGGGTATCTGCCTCTGAGTCCAGGGCTCCTCTGAGCCCCTGGTACCTGCTGGGTGCCTGCGGGGAGCGGGAATTGAGGTTGAGTGGCAGGTGGGTACAGCTGTGATGCGTCCTGCAGGCCAGATGAGGGCGGGCCCCCCACGGGAAACGGGCTCATCTGTGGGGCCAAGAGAGGAGGAGACAGAGTCAGGGTGGGGTGGGGCATCCCAGCTATGGGCGACACCTCCCTGCTCCCTAACCCATGCAGTGGAACTTACGCTGGCTCCATGGCTAGTTATGGGGCCCAAGCCCAGCACACTTCGGGGGGCCATGCCAGCTGGGCCATGGAGCAGGGGACCTGAGGTGGCTCCTACGTGGAGGTCAGCCACCCCAGACAAGGCACCTGCAGGAGAAGAGCACAGAAACACTGCTGGGATGGAGGAATGTGACTGCTTCTCCATGTGCATACTAGGTCAGCTGATCACCTCCCTGGGGTACAGTGGTGGAAAGCGGGGCTCCTGCCAGCTATGCAACCTTGGGTCAGCCTCAGTGTCTGCATGTGTTCTTGGGCCTGTGGCATTACTTACCTATGAAGTTATTGTGTGGTTTACATGAGATAATGTCTATCAAGTACTTAGCACATCACAAGACACATGATATCTCAATACGTGTGAGTCAGTAATAAATAATGATGGTGGTGGTACACTCATGTCCTTCATGAAGCTAACACACCAATTCATCGTTCAGTTTTTCTCCTCAGAAACTTCCCATGGCTCCCCAGTGTCTATAGGTTTAGGGCCAAATGCTTTTGTGCTTTCTTTCCCCTTTACGCTGGCTCCACAGTGGCCAAGCCCTGCTCCTCTGCAGAGATTAGTTCAGGAAGAGTAGATGTAGGGCCATAGTCTCCCATGCTGGGCCATGACAGACATTGCTAATCCATCACAGATTCTCACTGCACGCATCTGATTCTAGGCTGTCACCTTCAATCAAGCAAAGGTGATCTGTGAGATGATTTTGCCCTAGGGCCAACTCTTTCCGGGACCCTTCTGGGTCCTTCAGCTCCCCTCTGAATTCCT